AGTGAACTTTCCGCAAAAGCTTCTCAGAAGATCAAAGTTTAACATGATATTTTATTTAGAAATTATGTGAATTATATCCTGTAGCTTCCAGGATTTTGTGCCTTGAAAAGAAACATTCGTTCATAAATGAAACTCAGTTTTATGTCACTCGAAGAAACATTTTTCCTCTGAAAAAAATGTCCACATAATAACAGTGAAGCAACATAGTCCGGCCCACTGAAAAATACTTCGTTGAATCTCATGTGTGGACAAAAACACCCCAACGCCAGCTCAGTCGACTCCCTGGAAGACTAAGCAATCTTCTTCTTCTTTGTCTTAGATATCTTTTAAAGCTGGTATCCCCGAAAACTCGACGGCGTTTATTGGTGTGACCAATTTAACACTACGAATTGGAGGTAAGTGCACTAAGTCGATAATGTTTTTAACTACATGCCTACGGTGAATTTGATCTCGTCAAAGTTAACTGTGTATGCGCATTAAAGTTTTTCCAAGTCCAGTAAGTTATTTTTCGTTTAGTTACAAAGACTGGAAAATATTTTTTGTAGTTAAGTCACGAATGGGGAAAGAACGTTTGGCCCTGAAAATCCCAGTGCTGTTTTGAATGCCACTTCAATTTGCACATAGGGATGGGCCATCGCCGCATTAAAGGGCGCCCTCGTACTGTGCGATAAGAAAAACGGGTTTCATTGCCAGTCCATCGATTATTCTTTGTCAAAGACGCTAATGCGGTATTTGTTTCAAGTGCTTGTTACACCTTTGTTCGTTGAAGATATGTATTCAATCAATGATGACGTTACTTGACGACTGTCCTATATAGTCACGAATTAAGGGTGTTTCTTCCCTTCATGGACATTCATGATCCAGAAATATATCATTGTGGAATTATCAACATCCCGCAACGTTCGTGTGGCGTGTGTTCTAGGCCTAATTCTTTTTCGTGTGTCACAGAAAACACGGGTAATTCCTGGAACCATAACTACCCCCCCCCCGATCGCTGTACTTTTGAAACAGTTTAGTGGTTCTTAGTTCTATCACTCCTATAAACATATGGCCCACCGTATTTGCAGACTTTAGTGCCGTTTCGGTTAGTGTTCTTGCTTTTCTCATTTTTGCTCACCCAAGTATCTCGTTTTTCGTCAACAGAGGATGATTGTGCCAGCATGCCGTGCCAAAATGGCGGCGTGTGCATTGATGGTAACAACTCGTTCACCTGCGTGTGTAGCAGCGGGTTCAAAGGTGAATTCTGCCAGATTGACACCAGACCCCGGCCCCAAACGACAAGTGAGTTTTTGAAAACGTGACCTAATTATGCAAAACTTTGGACCAGCCAAAAATAAACAAATCCGGATTGTCAGATATTAGTTTACTCCACCACGTTCACTACTTTCCTTTCTGGAACTGGAAATAATTCATTTTTACTATTCTGAAGAGAACTCAAACTTCCTTTGGGGGAAGCAATGAGAAAAGTTGAATTTTTGCACCCACATGAAATAAAGAAAATACCAAAGCAATTGGCTTTCAGAGGATGCTGTCGTTTACATGGCAACATTTGAAGTATTGTCTGTTTGTGTCTTACGCAACCGCAGTGCTTTCAGGGGTAACTTACTAATGGATTGTAATTGTCAGTTCCAAGTTCTTTGTCGTCGAGCTTAGATTTTGGCCTCAAGTCGATAGTTAGCGAGACTTTATTCTTGACGTAGACCTACGCGGCTGCCACTTTGCACCATAGGCAATACACGTAATGTTGGTTCGGCACCCCAGAAAGGGGACGTTTGTGTGGGCGTTCGACCTTACAGGTAGAAGCCAACGATCCAGCCTACGATTGAAGTACATTAGTTGGATTTTCCATTTCTCATCACACTCACAAGTGTCCAAACTGCACGGTGAGGGGGAGGTGGTGGTTACAGCCTGTTTAGCCTTTTCATAAAGTGTGGAAAATGACAATTGACCACCTACAATCTCCTCGATACTCTTCTGTGAGGGGAAGGAGAGGTCTGAGGAAAGGAGTGTCATTTTGTTTAGATCGTAAAAAAAAAATAAAGGCCCCTTCAACAACATCAAGCCGCCGGACAAAATAAGACTATCTTGCGGTTTTTTTACTTGGTCAGCTGTAGGCAAGGTTATCAAGGTTTCCTGTTTAGTGCTTTTATTGGTGGCTATTGTCGCCATAATATTATTTATAACGCTAATAATTAATAACAAATCGTATTTGTTTATCAACAGTCTTGCCAACCACAGAGATGGCCACCAACGCTGGGATGTCAACACCACAGACACAAACTACGACGACGGTGAAAATCCCGCAGCCATCCCAGAAGACGACGACAATCAAAGTGCAGCCGTCAACTTACTCGACAGTCAAGTACGGTACCGTCTCCACGCCGGGAAAGTTGCCTCAGACAGGCGAACAAGGAGGAAAGATGGAGGAACCCACCATGATCGCTGTCATCGCCGTCAGCTCGGTCGTTTTCATCGCCGTGTTGGGCGCCCTCGTCTGGTTGCTGGTGTACTTTAAGAAGCGATCTTGGAGGCCCCGCTACCACGAGAGGGGGGTGTCTATGGAGAACGTCAGCACCGCGGAATCAATCCACGGCAAGTGGACCAGCACCGTCGACATCCCGGGATCGATCCCGGGCTCGAAATCAGAGCTCCCGCCGGTCGAGGAGATAGCCCTCCCGAAAAAGACTGAGAACATTTATGTGACATCACCAACTGTTGGCTTAGTAAATACGGGCTACAACATCGACAACATGTATTGAGCGATGGAAACAAGAGTGATGACACTTGGCTGTAATTTAAGCCATTCCTATAAGTGAAGGCTGGAGAGGATTTTCCCTCCATAAGAAGTTGGCTTCCTCAGGGAACAGATAGCCGTCCGTGACCTTTTGTGTCCATGCATCATTACTATTAAGCGCAGTGTGGTGCAAGCATCCGTATGGCTCAATCCAATTTGCTTTCTCGCTGTATACCTCCTTGCGTTTCCAGTCTCTTTAGACGGATGTCGCAGTGCGAAATGGTGCTTGCGTCCCTGAGAGCGACACCAATATTGTCAGAGTTATTTTATGTAACCCAGAGGCCTTTACCGGCATAGAACAGTTGTGCGCAGGTTTCCGTCTGATTTTCACAGCAGAGCTTATTTAGGCGTCATGTACATGCGTGCTTTTATCACTATCGTCAATGCTAGTACTTCCACCATTCGTGTGTCCATGTGCGTTGGAGCTTGGGAATTTTAAGAACAGTGAGGCTGGTACAGGCAATTGAATGCAAGCCATCTGAAACAAATAACTGGCGTTAACAGTAACAGCTACTGAAAAACCTACAATTCAACATTTTTATCGTGGTGTATTGCCGTCAGTCAGTCTTTTTAAAACAACTGATGATATTTTTATTGTGTGATTCACATGTAATATAGTTTGACAGTATTTTTTCAAAAAGAAAGACTGTACATAATCGTTGCGTGATGATATGTAATATTTTGAAACGAATCGCTTCTTAGGTATTTATCTCGAAATGATATTGTACAAAATCTCTTAACCTTTCGCACTGAAAACATGTATGGTTGAAATATAGTAGTATTTTCAATAACTTTTTGCTTAACACGGAAGAGATAAACAGTAGATTGAATATATGAAATAATATTCCTCATCTTTATTTACCAGTTTATTAAAGAGCTATAGACTTTCCATACCACTGTCCGTCGTAGTTAAAGTATATCTTTTTGGCTGCATGTACGAATGTCTCGGTGAAGCAGCATACCAGTCTTGTGATATAGGTTGATACTGGCTTAGAAATATTGACAACACAACCAAAATAAATTGATAAAGCATCAGCTGCGTTGGACATGCAAAATTGTCTTACCTCTGCCTTGGATACTGTCCGTTTATTTGCCCAGAGCGATCACATAACAGGGCGCCATTTAACAATTGTTGACTGCTGTAGCGTGTGATATGACTTCTTGAACACCCGAAGGACGCATAGCGCCCTCTTCGCCTCAAGGCGCTATGTGTCCCTCGGGTGTTCAATACGTCATATCCCACTCCAAAGCGGCCAACAATTGATAATTGTTACCCATCAAGGCTCTCTCCATCTGCAGGCCTACCTTGTGTAATCTGTCAACAGCTAATTGAATATGACACATTTACTCAACACGTTAGTCCGCAGTAATCTTTCAGAGAATCGGCTGGCTAGGGGCGTGGCGTTACCACGGCCTCAGTATATGCAATGAAACCGTGAGATAGAAGGCATTAAAACACGACGTATTTGAAGACGGACCTCTCCGGGCCTTTTGCTGGTGTTCAATATAACTGGGTAGGCATACAACATCTTTTGCCCTGGTAGCTGGGCTGAGCCTGAGGATGTCCCGATCCACCAATTTAAGCCCAGCAGATGGCATCAAGGGGATTAAGAGGCCGGTAATTAGCACCATTATCGGCGGGAGAGGGCGTTGATTGGAAAGATGGAGTTGCAGCCTGAGCAAAGTTCATGACCTCTCCTGGTATTCTATCATTCAACCCACCAGATCGTTACCAGCTCGAATGTAATGCTTTGACATCAGTGAAACGGTTCCCTCCGTCAAAATGTATGCTGCCTTTTTTAATTGGCGGGGCTTCATGATGTAAAGTAGCATTTCTGATTGCTTTGTCACAATCTCCATCAAGTTTTTTCTTTCAACAATGATTAGTCACTGAATGTCGCCTTTTGTTTTATTAATGTCAATTAATTCCTCTCACAGGGATGTCTTATATTGCGTTTCTATGCCTCATCAGCTTCGGACAAGAGATAAGTATAGGTTTGTGCTCAACGTATCTAGTACTCCAAAATAAAAAGGGTTTAAAGATGTAAACCACTGAAGCAAAGACGACTTATATGTCTATAAAACTTTTGTTCCTTGAACATTTTATTTCAGTAGCAGTTGCTCATTGCTAATCTGTGTTGAGGATCCCAATCTTACACCTAAAAGAGTAATTATAATAATACAGAGGGAAATTACAACTACAGCAGTAAAGAATATAACTACTACGTGTAGAAAGGTAGGTGCATCAGGAACTGAACCCCCCCGGAAAAGTTCTCGGACCCACAACTGAAACGAAACCTTCTACATGGCTTCATTTTATAGCAGAATGTGAACAGCAATTTTCAAAATGCCGATGGTCTTCAATACTCTTGTTAGGAGTGGTCATCTTTGGATGGAAATATTTTCAAACTGGGCGCAAGTTAACACAACAAAAATTGACAGGAAAAGGAATGATCGGAAAAGAAGCGTGAACTTGATGTGTGTCTTCAACACTTGAGTAGCTTGTATTTTCATCTTAAGTGGGGTAGTGTACCATTGTTGCCTATGGCAGCTACGCTATTGGTTTGCAACCCGAGACTGCAACTGCCCTACAACCTGTTGACGTCCGTCACCACCACTTCACGTTGCGCCAGCTATACTCGAATTCCTCGCATCCGCACTGAGTGTTTCCTCCCACGGGATACGCGTAGTCTCTCACCTCACCCCACCCCAACAGGTACACAGTATTAACACCTTGCGTGTCTTA